TTCAATTTCATTAAGGCATCCAAGCATCCAAGTTTCCTGTTCAATCTTTGCCGATATGGTAGGAGTGGCGAAAAAATCAAAAAAAGAAAAAAAGAGAGAGACTAACCAAAATTATAATTGATAGATAAGGTTTAACTGAATTTTGAGGTTTTTTTTGTTAAAATTTAAATCAAACTGATTTCAAATAGTTTAAGTTTTAATTGCTATTTCTAAAATAAAAAAATTAATGATTAAAGTGAGTATAACTAAATAATCTAGATTAAAAACCTTTTATATAAAATTTTTAATAGTTTTTAAATTCTCTTATGGTTCTCTCATTTTTTTTATTATTTGGATTTCCTCTTGAAAATCACCCTAAAAAATAAACTATAATTCTAATATACAATCTAAATTACAAAACGAAATATCTTAATATATATATTTTACAATTTATATTACAAAATACATAATTATATATATAATATTCCTTCTAAATAACAATTTAATTGAGAAAAAAAAATGTTTTCAGCTTGATCAAAGCAGGAGGGCAACGTATGCCATGAACGTTGGGTTGATTTGCAAATGTTTTCTTTTAATAATAATAATGATAAAGTAATAAAAATTTTATTTTATAATTTAAATTATATTAAATTATTAAATAAAAATTATTAAATAAAAAAATTTCAATATTAAAAATTTACTCATTATTTAATAATTAATTTAATACAATTTATTATTATAATACAAACTGCCAACACTTTGTCGTGGAGTAATTGTGTCTTAATATGGTTAGCTGCAGAGGAGCAATTAACACATAGTGAGTGAAATTGGTCCACATGACGGGACAAGGTAATTGTGTTCCTGATGTGAGCTTGACCACGCGGGACCCCGTGTCCATTACACAGGTGCTCCTGTTGTGTGACCTGTTTGTACCTAGTTGCCAACTGTTTGGGGTGCCCACTGCCAAGGGAGAGCAAATTAGCACCCTTGTCCACCGGATTGGCTTAATCGACCTCCATTGTACCAAACTCTTTTCCAGCACATAAATACTAGAAATTGAATTTTAGAAATGTAATTAATATTATGGATTATTTTAGGTTAAATTTCTAATTTGGTTTTTGAACTATTATACGGACTCCAATTTGGTTCCTAAACTATTGTATGGACCCCCCAATTTGATCTATACTATTTACTAATTTACTTCAAGTTGGTCATGACTTACAAAAACCAACATGTTTTGTTATTAACGTGATATGTGATTGTTAAATTATTATTTTTCGTCGTTAAATTATTGTTCGTTAAGTAACAGATACGTCAACTATTTTTATACGAAAGAACAAATTTAAGGTAAATTGATAAACAGTAAGAACCAAATTGGGGTCCGTACAATAGTTGAAGGACCAAATCAAAGATTTTTTTAGTTCATGGACCAAATCAATATCCGTACAATAGTTCAAGGACCAAATTGGAGGTTTAACCATTATTTTATCATCATTTTACATAGTTGAGGGTGTCATTGTGCCTAATGTATGTTCATATTCTTGACAAGGGGGGCCTCCTAGCCCACCTTTCTCTGTTTGTATTTGAGTAAACTATTTTTGCGCCTGTTCAAGGGGACTCCAAAAATCAAAAGGCCAAAGCCCCTATTTGCACCCTACACTTAATTGTTTTCCATGGTCAACACCTTCCAGAATTTTTCCTCCCTATTCACACCCTTAACTTTTCAAAACCCGTAAAAAACCCAACATTTTAACGCGACGTCACGGTGCCGTTACAAAATGTACTACGTGGCACTCAAAAATTGACGTGGCCAATATATACCGTTAGTAATTCAACGTGGATGTTTTTTTGATGACGTGGTTTAC